TGCGCCGCTCCCCCGGGCCCGTGCCCCGATGGCCCGCGGGAGTTGCCGATGGCTCCGGAGAGCGTCTGGGACGTCTCCCGAGGGGTTCGATCAGCGACATTAGCTGTGGGAAAAATCACACCTGTGGGAAAAAAGACACACTGTGGGAAGAAAACACAGAGTGGAGCGATCTGTTGGGAAAAACACACAGCATGCTGGGCTGACGCGTGTTTTTTGTATGTATGTTTTTTTCCCACAGAGTGGAGCGACCAGCGACATTGACTCCACAACGCGGCGCTCCGCGCAGACTTCTCTGATCGGCGCTCGAGCCCCCCTGGCGGCGCCTCCGGCGCTGCCACTGGCGCGCTCCGCGCGCAAGGGAGGGGGGTCCAGCGCCGATCCAAGAAATCAGCGTGGACCTCCGAGAATTGTATGTGTGTGTCGTTGTTTGTTCCCCTTCGCCGGGAGTTGCCGAGCGCTCTCGAGAGCGTTCAGGATGTTTCAGAGGAGGAGCATATACCGCTACCGCTACCCTTCCCTCGTCACCACTGCTGGATTCGCTTCGAGGTTCTCGCCAGAATGCGCCCTGGGAGAGGTCCTCGGAGCAGCGGTTTCGGTGCCTGCTGCTTTCCCCATGGACGGCGGGGAACATTTGGGCCGTGTGTCGCTCCACCGGCTTTGGCCCACCACGCTTGGGCGCGGCACGCTGCCCACCTCCCCGTCCCGAGGCGCCAACGTCCCGAGCCTTTTCCGAGCCTCCCACCCCGCGGAGCGGAGCGGCACGTTATCCGCTCGCATGGCACAGCGTGTCGCCGGGGCCGTCGCCGCGGCACGCGGAGCAAAAGTTCCCGGCCGTAGCCAACGGCAGTTGGCCTTCGTGGGGGGGCCATCGTCGCCACGACTGGGTGCATCTCTGGAAACCTGTGCGTCTGGTCCTGGGGAGGGGTCCAGGGACCGATTCCTTGGTCTTCATCCGTCTCCTCTTCATCTCTTTTCCTCATCCTCCTGCTGCTCCACTTCCTCCGCATCCGTGTCTTTCTTCTCTGCTCCCGTTCCGCTTCCCCCGCATCGTCCTCGCCACCCCCCTCCTTTTTCACGACATCTCCATCCTTCACCCAATCCGCAAGCTCATCCTCCACAATTGCACAATATGAAAATACTCTCCCTCTTCCCCTGATGGCGTCCCGAAGATATCCGACCCCCCCCCCCGCGTATTGTTTTTTACACAGGATTCCCGGGAAACGGGTTTTCGCCCGCGTTTTTTTCCCAAAATGCTGCTCTCGCTGAGGCGCCGGCCTCATTTCTGCTCCCGAATCGTTCCGAATCGTGCTCCCGCTGCAGCGTGGGCCTCATTTTCGGATCGGTGGTTGGCCTCCGTCGTTCAGGATGGCGTTCTCGCCCCAGCGCGGGCCTCTTTCTCGCGCGCCCATCCGCCCGCCACCACCGCGCCGCCGCACCACCACCACCACCACCACCACCACCACCACCACCACCACCACCACCACCACCACCCACCACCACCACCACCACCACCACCACCACCACCACCACCACCACCACCACCACACCACCACCACCACCACCACCACCACCACCACACCACCACCACCACCACCACCACCACCACCACCACGACAACCACGCACACACGCACACGCACGCACGCACGCACGCACCGCACCACCACCCACTACGCACGCGCGGGCGGAGCCACAGGTCCGCTACGACACGCGTCCGCGGATAGAGAAAATCAGCGCCATGGTAAGGGATGGGAGGGAGGGGTAGGACGTCAGATATGACGCGAGCGCACCTAGCTTGTCTTCCCCCCCTCCCCCTCCTCCGCCCTCTCCTCTAACGCTTCCACAGCTAAGGGGCTGAGGGTACCGCTGGCTGTTCGGAGGACTGTGCAGCACTCGGTGGAAGGTTAGAGTTGAGGGCAAGCCAGAGCGAGAGCTGGAGCACGAGCTGCAGTAGCAGCAGCAAAGGCGGATGGGGAGAATGAGGAGGAAGATCAGACGGACGAGGAGGGGAAGCAGGATGAGGAGGAGGAGGAGGAGGAGGAGGAGGGACGGGATGAGGAGGAAGAGGTGGAACAAGCGGAGAAAGTGGAGGAGGATCGTATGTGGATGGTGGAGTGGCAGATGGGGTCCGCACTGCCCGAGGACTGGGGCAAGTCGTCGCCGGGGAAGCGCCGCCATCGCAAGACGCGCGACGGGCTCCGTGAGGCACGAGACACGTCGAGGACGGCGGGAAAGCAAGGACGAGTTCGAAGGTAGCACGAAAACTTGAATCCTTTGTTTGATTTCTCGCTCTGGTAAGATTGACGCGTGGGGCAATTCTCATATGCAGCGCTTCTCGCTCACCTCTTCTTTCTTCCTCAAATGTACGCCTTCATCAGACATAGAAGTATCATGAGAGGGCAGGGTGCGGCCTGGCGTTTGGATGCCAGGTCGAGTTGGCGGTTCCTTCGCGTCGCCAATCATAACACTTGTCTGTTTGCCTCGTTTTGCGAATGTCTGTTTGATCATGATGCGTAGGGCTCCGAATGTCTGGCGATGATGGCACTATATTAGCAGCGGTGGACCATGCGCAGACTGATATTTACACCCATGAGGAACTTCAGTTAACACGTGACACCAGTACACCGGAGAACCAAAAACATTCGGTGGATGGTCCCAAAGTTTGCAAGAACCACGCCCTGCCGCAGTTTCGCAAGAGGGCCCCTGGAAGCCAACGCATTGATTGCCCCTGCGCGTTGGAAGGGTTGGGGCACCCTCGCCGTTTCGGGCATCCGTCGGCTCAAGTTGGTTTAGGATGAAGTCGGGCCTGTCCCTCTACAGGGGGATTATTCAAAAATAGTCAAAAAATAGTCAGGGAACAATTTTGTTAGTATTTTGGGGCATCTTTCGAACATTGTTTGAGCATTTTTTGATGTTTCGTCCAAAATCCCCGTGTAAGGGGGACAGGCCCGACTAAGCTTAGGAGGTTTCCACCACTGCCCCATGACGGCGCACGAAGATCTCCAGACGACCCGAAAGTGTGAGGCAAGTATTACAGAAATACCACGAGAGAGAGAGAGGGGAACGAGAGAGAGGGCTTGCACACCGCGGGGGAAAAAAACACCATACGTAACGATTAGAGGATGCACTGCGCCTCAACTAGTGAGACATATACAGAGAGGAAATCCAAGAGAGAGAGGGGGGATTGAAAGAAAGAGAGAGAGAGAGAGAGATATTGCTTAACACGGATAATCAGTCAGACACAACGATTCGATAATGCATTGCGTATCGGGAAGACACGACATATTCAGATTGTTATATACAAATTTACCAAGAGAGAGAGAGAGAGAGAGAGAGAGAGAGACAAAACAAAAACAGAAAGAAAGAGAACGGGAAAGAGACAGCGAACGAGAACGCAAAATAACAAATACAAAGAGAGAGTGAGAGAGAGGAAGCGCCCACCGACAACCGCCCACCGAGAGCCGCCCACCGAAATCAGCCGGCTACTTTCGCCGATCTCTTGAGTAGGCGCCGACCGAAAGCCGCCCGCCGAGAGCCGCCCACCGAAATCGGTTTCGCTAGTTTCGCCAATCTCTTCTATTACACCGAAGAAAACCCAATCAGTGGATTATCCGAAAGTTTTGCAAGCACCATACGGGGCGTCAGTTTCGCAAGAGGGCCCTAAGAAGCTAACGCATTGATTGCCTTTTCGCATTGGAAGGGTTGTGGCACCCTCGCCGTTTCGGACATCCGTCGGCGCAAAATGGCTAAGGAGGTTTCCAAGATCGCCCCAGGACGGCGCACGAGGGACGTCAGATGACCCAGGCGGGCCTCCAGAGGTACCCGAAAGAGTGAGACAGGTATAACAAATATCGAGAGAGAGAGAGAGAGAAGAGGGAGAGAGAGAGAGAGAGAGAGAGAGATATAGAAAGAAGAAGAAGAAGAAAGAGAGAGAGAGAGAGGTTGAAGAACACTGACAACAAACATCATACACAACGATTATATAGTGTAGTGTGCATCAAAGAGTGAGGCAGATATAGAGAACGACCTAGAAAGCGAGAGAGGGGAATGAGAGAGAGAGAGAGCCTACATAACACGGGTAATAATCATACATAAGGATGAGATAATGTATTGCGCACCGGGAAATACGAAAGAGTGATATTGAGATGAACTACCACCAAAGGAGGGAGAGAGAGCGAGAGAGAGAGAGAGAGAAATATAAATACAGAGAGAGGGAGAGAGAGAGAGAGAGACAGAGCGCCCATCGACAGCCCTGATATGGAAAGATACCACGAGAGAGGAAAGGAGAGAAGGGGCGCCCACCGACAGCCGCCCACAGAGAGCCGCCCACCAAATTCGGCGGGCTAATTTCGCCAATCTCTTGAGCAGGCGCCTACCGAAAGCCGCCCACCGAGAGCCGCCCACCGAAATCGGTTTCGCTACTTTCGCCAATCTCTTCGATGTCCGCTAGGACCCCTTCAGTGGGAACACTGAGTGGGGAATGTCCGCGAGGACCCCTTCAGTGTAAGCACGGATTGGGGAACTTATTTTTCATGGACTTTCAGTTCCGTTGCAGAAGACCAGATTGGACTCTGGGCGTTTTCTGGGAGCTTCATCTTCGTATCATTTTAGGAAATCTGCTGGACTACCGTTTCAGAAAACGCTTGGATTGAAGACCATATTCTTAGCGTGGACTTCTCCTTACTCTAAGCAGGGGTGCGCATACGGGCAAAGCATATGCTGAGCCAGTGACGCAGTTCTGCGGGCCCCCCTCGCGCTTTCTGGTAGACCATCGTGCTCTTGCCGCGTTTCCCGAGCCGCTCCTGGTGTTGCCAAACAGGGCGAAGGAAGAGGAGGAGCAGGAGGAGCCAGAGCGCGTCCGTGCTCCTCCAGGAGGAGGGGGAGGAGGAGGGAGGAGGAGGAGGAGGAGGAGGAGGAGGAGGAGGAGGAGGAGGAGGAGGAGGAGGAGAGGAGGAGGAGGAGGAGGAGGAGGAGGAGGGAGGAGGATCCCCCTCACCACCCCCCAAAGCAGTTTTTCTTCTCCAGGGACTCGGCCAGCTCGGAGCAATACTCACGACCCCCGCCGTCATCGGGCCAAGCGTGTCAGAGAGCTCCGCGTCGCTCATTGCACGCTCCGTAGCCGCTCGGCGCAGCCTCTTCTCATCGGGCCGCTCCCACTGACTGGTCGCATGTTTTTAGGGCTGCGCCTGGCGCCGAGGCTGCTGTATGGTCGAGGCGCCGTGGCAGCGCGTTCCAGGTTGGCCGGCTCGGGATTCGGACGGGACGTGTTCCGACGAGCATCGGCACGTTGCCGGGCAAGCATTGCCTTCTTCGATTGCGACTACACCGTCCTGGGAACAGACTGCGAGCTTGAGTGGAAGGCCATGCTGATCGATCGCGGAGTGGCACCCGAAGGAGACCGTGAGCGAGCAGCACATTTTATGGACTTGCATGACCAAGGCAGGACTCCGGTAGAGGAGTACACCGCCTTCCTCCTGCGAGACTTTGTTGGGCAGATGCCAGAGGACGTATCTCGTATCTCGCGCGAGTGTTTCCAGTCGCGTCTCGTGGACAAGCTCTTTTCTCAGGTTCCGGAAGAGTTGGCGCGGTATGATCACAAGGTGCGGAGAGCACCTTTCGGAGCGTCCCCTTTCGACGTTTGACCCACGTACTTGACCTCCAGCTTTCGAGAGCGAGCCTAGCACTCTTGACGTAGTTTATAAGGAGTTGCACGGGTTCACAGGATGGAGAAGGATAGGTCCATGATGGAGGCGGGAGGAGGCAGGAATGGGGTGAATAATGTGATGAGAGGAAAGGTCCGAGGGCAAGGAGGAGTAGAGCAGACGGAGAGGATGCAAGCAAGGAAGGAGGTCGGCGGGATGAGGCAGGATGCAAGATGGAGGAGGGTGGACGGAGCAGAGATAGATAGGAGAGAGGGGGGAGCCAGAGGAGGCCGGCGGGGGAGGTGAGGTGGCTGACCGGAGGGCGGCGGCAGGGAGGAGCACGGGCAGCGGAGGACGGCGAGGGCGGAGGGCGCCGCGAGGACCGAGCAGAGGACGTCCGCGAGAGGAGGGGGCGGGGACCACGGCCGGGGAAGGGACGGTGGACGAGGGGGGGAGGCGGAGCAGAGGGGGCGGGAGCCTCCAGGTTCAAGCAGTGGCGAAGCGTCTTGGCGTGCCTATAGCCCTACCAGACAATGTTCTAAGAACCCATTGTGGTTCCCACGAAATGTTCTTAGAACATTTCTGGCTGGGACTGTCTTGATGTATCACATCGGGTTTATGTTCTAAGAACATTGTTTTTGTTTTTAGAGCATTTCGTGGTAGAACTATAGGAATGCCAGGACGGTCGGTCCCTGCTCAACAGGTGGGGGGCGGTCGTCGAGGGATGTGCCCAGGAGGCTTCGGACCCCGGAGGGTCCCTCATATCTGACGAGGGCGGCGGTGGTTTCCGTGGCCGGTCCACGGTCGGAGTTCCACCGGCCTCCAGGCCCCATGGGTTCCTTTTCGGGAGCCTCGAGGCCGGGGCCAATGCAGACGGGGGTCAGCCGGGGCACCTGATGCTGCAGGATCCCGCGAAGGCCCCCTCTGGCTGACCCCTCTGGCTGACCCTGGCTGCGATCACCAGCTTAGTTGCCTCGATGCGCCCGTTCTGCAACGCAATACGTCCCGTGTTCAGGACGTCCGTGTCAATACGTTGCGTGTCGGCTCCACGTACTGGACCACGTTTTGGCGAGCGTATCGCGTCGGACCTACTTTTTCGGCCTACGTGTTGAGCTCCGTATCATTACGATACGTGTTGCGTGTTGCGTATCGAGGCAGCTAAGTTCACCAGTGTGCTCAGGAGCCCTCGAGCTAAAAAATGGCCGCGGCAGGCAGAGGCGAGGGGAGCACGGCGGGTGCATGTCGACAGCCGTCCTCCACGTGCCCAGCTATATTCAGGAGGCAGAAAACACACAGACACAATGAATCGTCGATTCCCCAGAATATATTCGAAAATATGGGAAGTGGGGGAAGACATAATCCCAGAAAGTATGGGAAAATATTTGGAATATGGTTACTTGTGTCTATTTATTTGTGTGTCCCAGTTCCCCTTCATATCAAGCCGAAAGAAGTCTGGCAGCTGAAAGCAGCTGTTGAACCCCAAGATGGCCCACCGAGCCCCGAGAGGATTTCCATGGGGTGACCCAAGAGGGCTCATGACTTACGTTATGCTCTGCGCTTCCTGGCGCCGTCAGGACTGATGCAACTGTTCTTCCAGCTGCCATTTCGTTTGCATTTCTCTTCCCTGAGAGCTGCGTTGCGTTTGCAGCTGGCTCCAGGTGCTGCTCTCCGGCTCCTTTCGACCCATCGTGCTGCCCGTCAGCGAGCACTTCGGCTTCGACTCCCTCGTCTGCTCGGAGCTGGAGCTGGGCAGCGATGGCCTCTACACCGGCCAACGCCGCGGCCCGCTGGCCATCAAGGAAGCGAAGCTGGCGGGCGCGGAAGCGTACTGCAGGGAGCGCGGCGCGCGCCTCGCCGAT